ACCAGCACAGCCTCTGGAAGAGCAAACCTCATGGAAAAGGGTTATTTAGGACATGTAGAGCCCTCTCTGGCACCTCCAGTAGGGCAAGGAGTGGGGCGAGGGGACTGCAAAAGCACCTTCATGCCCCAGGGTGGCTCAGTTAGAGACGTACAAGATGCAAATTAGAGAGAATTTGGGCTGCTTTCCATTACAGTGATGATCTGCCCGACTGGGATAGCCCGAGGTCAGTTTAGGATATGGAAAAAGGCACTTTTGACCCAGGCTTTCTCTTCTGCAGGTGTGTTCCACGCAAGTTTTAAATTAATAAGGCCTGCAGGATTCAGCCCTTCAGGAATTAAATTATTATTTGATTGTTTGCTGCCTAGACGAGTTTGTAAGAAATAATAATTTCCCTCAAAAAAAAAAAAAAATCATTAAGCAGAAGGCCATCGAAATTAGTTACAGAAACAACCATATTTGTGTTGATCTTTGGCCACTGTAAATCAGCATAACCTGGATGACTACAAAGGAAACGTTGCCAATGCACAGCCCTGGGAATCTGCTCTGCTGCACTTAAACTCTGCCCAACATCTTGACATCCTGCACGAGTTCAGTGTTTATTCTCTCGCACTAAAAGGACAGAAATACACACACCTTTCATCTGCTCTCAGCAAATTGCTTGTGATTTCTCCTTGGCTACAACGCTCAGCTGTGGCCGGCCACAGTAAGGTTGTCCAGCTGCTCAGGAGCACATTTAAATATGAATTGGAACACGAGTGTTTCATGGAAATTTGGCTGCTCCCAGCTTTCCCTGGCTTTGTCCGCCTGGAGATTGTTTGTCCCTCCTTTCAGCTCAATAGCTTCTTTCAAATTACAACAAACAAGGATGCTGGGGAATACCAGGAAACAGCTCCAAAGATGTAGTGCTCTTTTATATTCCTGGGCATGTCACTTGCTAACAGCCCCAGCGCCTGCTCTTCCAAACTGCAACAAGGGCGAGGACCGACCGAAATTCCCCACTCCTGAGAAAACAAACCAACCAACCAACCCACCCCCTGGAAACAAAGAGCAAAAAATATTTCCTCAATTAGGCAGCTGAAAAAAAAGGTCCAGAACCTGGCAAGACTCATGCATGTGTGGGTGCCTCTCTTTTCTCGCTCCTCTGGCTCGTTTCAAATGGATTCCGTCAAGAATAATGGCCAAGGATTGGTTCTTGATCTTCCATGAGAAAAATAAGGTACAAAGTAAATGAGATAAACTGTGCTGCAGGAATATAAATTAATGATGACATCATAGCAGACCTTTTAGCCTTGCATAAGATTAATTAGAATAAATGCGTGAATTGGGCAATAGAACTTCTCTTAAAGCTTGGATTTTCATGGGTACATCTATTTCTTATATATTTTACAAACTGAAATACAAGTCTAAACTCAGATGCATTCATTAATTATTGCAAGATTTTGGTCAGATTCCAGTCTTTAGAAATCAGCAGCAGTGCACAGGAATTATCACTATTACTCATATTACTATTATCATCATTATTTTCCTATCTGTCCACCATGACTCTGCTTCATCTTTTGGGGGAAAAATAAAAGCGCATCTAAAACATGCTCCTATGTAAGTTTTAAAATATCATAAAAGAGCAAATCCTCATACTTTTTTTACCCCAAATTCCTCTGTTTGAAGGACAGGTTATCCCAGACACAGACCTGACCTCTGTTATCCAGAATTTCTCCCTTTCCTAATCTACCTACGCAGAAAGCAGTTTTCTCTAATGAAATCAGAAAATGGCAGTGGCAATTACTGCATGTCCAGAGTGTGTTTCCAGCCTTTTTCCTTTCCCTGATGGTCCCAAACTCATGGTATGGGGAAGCTGATTTTTTAAATGTCATCGCTTTTGTCACTTTAAGTTCTATTAAGATTGGTTATTGACTTTATGTATAATTAATGGTTTCCAAAGTCCTACATTTTTACACGTGATAAACCCTGGTGCTGAGAAACAAACAAATTCCTGTTGTTTATTGCCCTTCCTTCTTCCCCACCCAGGAGGAACAGAAGTCATTTGAACTAAAGCCCTACGGCCTCTCCCATGGACGTGTCTGGATGTTTCTCACTTAGGTTGATGTGACAATTATTAGATCTGGCACATATAAACACAAAAAGCAAGAGGCATTAACAGGTCTATTCACCAAGGGTCCTGCACTCTTTGCACAAAAAAAAACCCTTAAATAAAAGTAACATGCCTAAATTGTGTAAATGTCAAGGTTTTCTCATTCATTAATTCCCCTCTCTTTGATGTGCAGTGCTCCCAATTCTGTCTCTGCTCAATGGAGAGGTGCTGGGCTGATAAAAACTGACTCTTCCTGGCACATTCCTGGTCTCACAAAGGATGCAGGCTTGGACCATGATCCAAAAATGCACTTATGTGCATTGCACCTACAGAGAAGCATTTGTTTGGAGTTCATTTCCCCCCGCCCCAAGGGGACTGACAGCCACAGCGTTTACCACACAGGGCTGGGAACAGCTCTGCAATGCCCTCGTGGTGCCCCACTGCATCTGAAGGGAAGACAAAGCAAAAGTGGAGAGAAAAGTTCTGTTTTCCCACCTTTGGGCTGGTCTGGAGAGCTTCTGCCCCTGAGACAGAGGGTCACTCTGGTCATCCCACCCACAAAGGAGCAGAAGCCTTGCTGGTGCCTCCCTCCTTCTGCAATCTCCATCCTTGCAGGAGTGACAGCATCCCAGAGAGGAGACCACAGGACCTTTGTTTATTGCAATTCTAACTGCAGAGGTTGTCCTCTGCCATGATTTTAGTCTGTGCCAAGCCAGGCAGCAACACAGACTGCCAGGATTCCAGGACCGAGTGAAAAACCCTTTGGCTTTGACCTGGACAACTGGCACCTTGAAGTGATATGTGGAGATGGAGGGGGGCCTCTTCCTTTTACAGGGAAGTGCTGAGCTCTTTCTTGCACACAATGTAAAAGAACACTTATCTGTGAATGGTCTCTTTCTTTGGGGGAATTCAGTTTCTATAGCAAAATGATCTTTTTATGTATCAGAAAAATATCTGATGCTTTCAGTCACAGAATGACAAAATGGTTTGAGTTGCAAGGGACCTTAAGGATCATCTCATTCCAACCACCACAGGGAGGAAACTTAAACCAGGTTGCTCAGACCCCAAACAATTCCATATAACCTCTACAGAAACAAAACCCCCTGCGCCTAAAGTCCTTAAATCCACCCAGAACGCCTGTAATTAATTATCTGACCAGCAACAACTTTGGTAGGACAGTGAGGAAAGAGGGGCAGACGCTCCACCCACGGCAGATTTCAGTCCCCAAACCCACCTCTGTGGCGGTGTGAAGTCCCTCTCCTGCTCCTGCCTTCCCCCCAGTCCCATCAGTGGCGCGTGGCGCTGGCACAGATGGCGGCTGTGGCACGGGCAGAGCGTGCCAGCTGTCGGGGACACAGGTGCGGATGCTCCCGCTCGCTGCTCTCTGGAAACCAGACCTCCAGGAGCCAGGCTCCAGCAAGAGAAAAGGGACATCGCCCACAGTTCCACTTCTTAGCTGCTGAATAAAAGATCGCGAGCAAAGCGTCTCTTTAAGGCCGTTCTGCACAATGCTTGAGTTGATAAGTTATCGGAATTTTGTCACAGTAAATAGGTGACATATTGTTGCAGCCATTATTATGCACACTTGACACACAGATCCGTCCATAAAGCAATTTGAGGGCAAGGCATCAGCTATTCAGGCCCTCGTAATCCAAATATCTACCTTATCCCAAATGGCACAGGAACCGCCCACATGTCCTTTACGGGGGTGAAATATGGAAATAGGCAGGAGAAAATCCAAGACTCATCATTGCTTGGGGTTAACATCACCTCAATTTCATGGTGATTTTCAAGTGACTGATGTTTATTTTCAAATCTATGGCTCTACATATTGGAGGGAAGTTACTGTGGGCTGTATTTATCAGTGAGTGAGTGACAGGAGTGATGACATCAAAAACCAACTCCCATCAGTGAGTAAGACTTTCCCATTTCCTTTCGCCACTATCGACAGCTATTCTCCGACGCTGAGCTGCCGGAATGTCAAAAGCACTCATTGATTAGGAATGGGGAATTATGGAAAAGCCCTTCCACCATCCATCAGGGTTTTTATCAGTAGCTCAGCCCTTGGCTTTTAGACAGCGTGAGAATGCTCTGTCTCCGCGGGAATCGGGAAAACAGGAGTTGGGAGCCGCCGCCAGCTGGAATCCAGGGAAAGGCACTGTGCCCCAGCCATGGCTGCTGGGGTGATTTAGGGCTCTGGCTGCTTGGCTCTGCCAAATGAAAGGAGCAGAGGTCAGGGAAGGCACACAAGGGAAAGAAAGGTTTGGTGGAGTCGCAATTTTACAGCAAATTTTCATCAAAGAGGAGCAGCCGAAAAGAAAGGGGCAACACGAGAAAGGTGGTGCAGATAAAGCAGCCTGATTCTTTCTACACCTCCCATGAATATCTGGATGCCAGCTGAGCTGTGAGGATGCTCAGGGGTTTTGCCTGGGATGTGAGATTTCTCTTGGTTTCCCTGGAAATCCTTCCTTTCAAAGGCAAATTGGTGTTTGCTCCTGTTTTTCCACATTGCTTTCTGTACACAAATACAGACCAAAACACCCCAAAAATGGATACCAGGACAGTCATAACAAGACCCACAGAATCTTGGAATCACAGAATTGTTTAGTTTGGAAAAGCTCTCTAAGATCTAGACTTCTAGTACTGCCAAGGCCACCACTAACCCTGTCCCCAAGTGCCACATCTATAGTTTTTTTAATTCTTCCAGGGATGGTGACTCCACTATTTCCCTGAGCATGTGGCTTTAAATTTCTCCAACAGTTAATATATTCCAGGCTATTGCCTGGTCAAGGCTAAACTTGTGTGTATAGATAAAGGTTTATTCAGAACTTCAGGCAATCCATGAACCAAGCCTAGGAAAATACAATTAAAAACTGTTAAATGTTGAAGAAAACACCACATCTCATTTCACCTGAACAGGGGTGCAGGGATAAAGCAGATCGAAATCCTTCCTCTCTGGTCTGGTCTCACAACAACATCGTGGTCCTCCTCATCTCAAACTGCAGGTCTACAATAAAACCAACAAAGCCAACATGAGAAGGACTTTACTAAGCAGTTTTTAAATTAATTGTTTTTGTTTATTTTCTGGGGGAGTTGAGTAGTGAGTCTTCACAAAAGCTGAAGAAAGATAAAAGTGCTGAAGACTTGCTGCTTTGTGGCACCCATGAATACCAGGAGAAAGTAGGAGCATGTCTCCAAATGGGATAGCAAACCCAGCCTGATGGAGTGGCTCACGTGGTCTCTTGGCTGCTCCATGCAATGCCTCCTTTGTTTGTTCCTAGCACAGCTATTTATATCACACACTCAACTGAAAGGCAGGCAGCCAAAGGTTTGCTTTTTAGGGTTAGTTTGGGCAAACGCCCAAACCTCTGGATGCTAAACTCTCCAAACCACCAGGGTTTGCAGAATTAGGTTAGAAATCACACACAAATGGGCTTTCTCCAAAATCATTTTTGCACTCCATTTGTAACAGAACCAGTCTCTTGACATGTTTTTATATTTTCCTATCAAGATCTAACCAGGATATGAAAGCATTGAATACTAATGAAGGAAAAAATTGACAAGTTAATGTTGCCCAACTTGATTGGAAATACAGTGCAAGAAATAACATTGCCTCATGCTGCAGTGGAGGGAATTCCTCCTTCACTTGGGAATATGCTGATGGATCTGGAGGTGAGGTATCAAAAATAGATTTCATTTTAATTAAACAGATTATAGAGGTATTAATAAAGGGGAGAGATCCTCCTGGAAAGAAGAGAAATGGCAGCTGAGACAAAAGAAATGTCATGAACAGTTTGTTCCAGGCGATTCTGTAAGCCCAGAGGTGCTCCAAGATCCCCATGGGACAATGTCCTGCCTGTGCAGAGGAGGACTTGGCCAGCATGGCCTGAGCTCACATTTCCAGGTTATTTTTGGCCCTGAAGACCTGATGCTCCACTTGGACCAATCCATCTTCATCGCTGGAGCAGGGAGAGTGATTCTGCCAGCAGGGACCGGGTCCTCCAACGCTCAGCTGGGCATCGCCGGGGAGCTCGGTGCCACAGCCCTCGTGTGCCAAGTGACCACCCAGCCAACTTGCCAGGCTCGGGCTGGCAGCCAGCTCCTGCCAGCCACGTTCCCAGCTGCTCTGGCTCCTGTGGATCAGCCAGAAATCTGAAGGAGACCACACAGAGCCCTTTGCCTGGAGCTGGAGGACGTGCACGTGCAGGTCCTGAGCAGAGCCAGACAATTCAAGGTGTGTTCTGGATGTTCTATCTTCCATACAGAAAAATTTGGGGAGGGTGGCAATATTTGGGAGGTAGGTTTTGGGGAAAGGAGGACAACTCCATCACCATCCAGACCCCTGCACAGCTGTTTGAGAAATAAAATAAGCCAAGCAGCATTCTGCACAGGAAAAAAAAAAATCCTTAAAAATCTTCCTGAGGTTAAAATATTCTATAGATGATTCTGAAATGTCTTTCTGCTTGAAAAACACCTAAAAAACACTTAAATGCTACATTTGAAGAACAAAGGTTATTTCAAAAAACATGATTAATTAGTAAAACATTTTGAAAACTGTTCTATGATTTGTTCTATAATATTTCAAGGTGGGATATTCATTGAAACAAACCCTGTGAATGGCTCCCTTTTTAACAACTCAACATTTTCCCCAAGGAAAGGTGCCATTCCATATTCATCAGCCATCCCTATCCTGAAGCACCATGAAGCCCCATCATATGGATCCCTGCACCCAGAGATGTCCTTCCAGACTGGGATTTTGCCCAGCAGGCAGCTGCAAACCAGTTGTTGTTTTATTCTCCCACCAATATCTTTCACACTTGTGTTTCATCCTACAAAAACTCTCCCTTTCCCTCTGTTACAAAGACCTGGATGCAGGAATTGAGTTGAAACTCTTAGACAAGATACAGATGTACACATTAGCCCACTGCATCCATTCTACTTCTTAAAGATGAGGACCTGTTTTATATATTTAATCTTGATTTAGTTAACATTTCAAGTAAAAGACAAAATGCTTCACGTCTCCCTTAATAATTGATGTAACCAAGCAATACCCAGTACTACAGAATCATGTTGCTTTTTAATCAAACTCTCTATTGTTTTTTTCTTTTAAATTACAGATGATGTGTTCCTTCCCAATTTGTCACTCAGCAATGCAGCAATTCCACAAAAACCCCTATTTTTAAAAAACCCTGAGAAACATTTTGTAATATTCATGCAGCAATGCTGTGTCTTTTTAAAGTTTCGCTACCTGTGTATTTTAAAGCATTTTTTTCCAATGCCCTTGCTACCTAATTTGAGAAAAAAATCCACAGTCCCAAGCAAAACTCAAGGTGGACATATGTGTCCTTGTCTAGTCACTAATGTCCACTATTCCCATGTATTACAGTGGTTTATCAGCTCCCTCCTTTAAAGAATTTGACAGGAGCTTTTTGCCTTTGGCGATCCAGTTGCAGTCTCATTCTACATCTGTTTTGATTGTCAACCTAATTCTGAGAGCAGTCAAAAACCTAGTCAGATCTCTCATGAATATCTTGGCATGTTATGGCTTATTTAGGCTACGAGTAGCTCTGTTGGAACAGCATCCAAATATACTACAGATTGACTCACACAAATATAAATCCCTCAGTGTTCACAATTCCTTCCTGCAAACAATTAGGAAAATGCCTCATTGAGCAAAGATGCAAATAACAGTCTGCAGCACCTCCACCAGGTTGTGCCCTGGCTTGTGCTGAGCCTCCCTGCCTGCCTTAGTTTCCCTCCTTCCCTCCCTGCCTCCTTCCTTGCCTTCCTGGCTTCTTCTTTACCTGCTTCTCTGTCTCCATCCCTGATTCTTTGCCTCCATCTCTGTTTCCTTACCTTTTTGTCTCCCTCCCTCCCAGCCTGCCTTCTTCCCTGCCACCCGGCCTCAAATTCTGCCTCTATTCCTGCATCCATGATTCCATCCCTGTCTGCCTCCCCACCTCCATCTCTCCATGCTTTGCCTTCCTGCTTCCTTCCCTGCCACCCTGCCTCAAATTCTGCCTGTATTCCTGCATCAAATCCTGCCTCCATGTCTACCTCTGCCTGCACCCCTGCCTGCATCCCTGCATCCCTGCTGGCATCCCTGCACCCCTGTCTGCATTCCTGCACCCCTGCCTCCATCCCTGCACCCCTGCCTGCATCCCTGCACCCCTGCCTCCATCCCTGCCTCTCTGCCTCCATCCCTGCACCCCTGCCTCCATCCCTGCACCCCTGCCTGCATCCCTGCACCCCAGCCTCCATCCCTGCCTCTCTGCCTCCATCCCTGCACCCCTGCCTGCATCCCTGCACCCTTGCCTCCATCCCTGCACCCCTGCCTGCACCCCTGCCTCCATTGCTGCACCCCTGCCTGCATCCATCTACCCCTGCCTCCATCCCTGCCTCTCTGCCTCCATCCCTGCACCCCTGCCTGCATCCATCTACCCCTGCCTCCATCCCTGCCTCTCTGCCTCCATCCCTGCCTCCCAGTCTCATTGCCCATCTCCCTTCACCCCTGCCTTCCTGCTTCCCTGCCTCCCTCCTGCCTCTCCCGTGCCGCAGCCTCAGCTGCACGCGGGCTGAGCTCTCCTCCAGCTGCAGCAGCAGCAGCAGCAGCAAGGTGAAGCGCGGGAGCTCTTCAGGGAGGGGAGAGCAAATTAAAGCTCACTGCAGGAAAGTTGTGCCCCTGGCACTCTGCTCATGCAACAGCTGCAGATACAACAACGATCATCTGACATTCTGACATATACGTTGAGCAAAGCAGCGAGCGAGCCAATGCCGACACAACCTCGCGCAGGGCTCCGAGTCCCAGCCTTGAGCAAAACAGGTGTATGACATCCTGTTGCCAGTCTTCAGAGGTTATGGCTACGAGGAGAGACATCTGAGAGAGGAGCAGATGAAAATAACAAAGAAGGTTAAGGCTCGGGTTGACAAGCTCATTGATAATGTTTTAGATGGAACAGACCTGCACGTTGACTACAAATTGCTCCTAATGTCTCCCGTAGACTGCAGGCCCCAGTCAAAGTGAAAATGGGCTCATTCATTACTTTTGGCGAGCAAATTTCTGCAAAAAGGAACCACGGCGACCCAGAAACTCCAGATGTCCTTCGAGGCCGAGGCTGCAGAGCTGTCTTGGTGCCAGAGCAGCAGCATTACGTTGTGCGGCCTTCAGGCTTCCGTGTAAATAAACAGGAGCAATGAAATCCTTTAGTAAATATTTTTGAATTTGGTGGAAAATCCTGTTGCAGCATTTTGCTTTTTAATGTTCTGAGACTAATTGATTGTCTAATAGGAGGCAAGGACACTGCCAGGAAAGGCATCGCTCTCGTGTTAGCATCCAGGACGTGGCTCTTTGTGAAAAAAAATTACATTTGGAGAAGAATTTTAAATCCAGTCTTCTAAATTTTCGCATTCTAGACATTATGGCCCAGAAACAGCACATGGGCTGCCATTCCTGGAAGTTCATTGCTTCAAGTCACATAGCTCCCTAGGCTAATCAGCCTTCACTAAGTTGCCTTATTTTGGGGAAAGAAAACACGTATTAAAGTGAGGCCATGTCTCCATAAAAGATGCTCGGAAGAGCACTGCTGGATATTAAAGTTAGCATCTGCTATTGTCTGGTTAACAATTGGCAATTACCATTAGTTTCCACTGTGGCTGATGGAGTCACAGATGGCTGATTGAGTCAAGTAAGTGCACTTATTCCTATGGAGGGGTGTGCTGTAGCAGGAAAATACTTACACTCACATCACACGCAATCCAGGCAGAAAGTCATGAGACGGCTTCCAAAAAGTCACTTCCAGCTTGTCTGGCCTGTTTGAGATAAATCCCAAAAGATGCTGTAAAGAAAGGCTGTAAAAACAGAAAAAAAAAATAGGATCCAAACTGCAGTCGGGGGTTAATACACACGGAGAA